CATGTATACCTTCTTCCACTGACCCTGCCGACATATATACCATGTATACCCTCTTCCACTGACCCTGCCGACATATACCATGTATACTCTCTTCCACTGACCCTGCCGACATATACCATGTATACCTTCTTTCACTGACCCTGCCGATATATACCATGTATACCTTCTTTCACTGACCCAAGGGACCCTCTAAGAATAATTTTACCTGACTCCCGTTGTCGTAATGTGTCCAGTTCATGCCGTCTTCGCTATAGTCGATGGTGTAGCCTCCAACCCACTGTATATTGTCGACATCCTTGGCACCTGTTATTATACATTAACCATCACATTTTAAAAAGTCCTTGATTTGTTTATTTAATTACTATAACGGCATTTTATTTTGATCTTGATTCTATCAATATCTTTTCATTTTTAATGATGTATTTTATCTGACCCTCATGTTACATGTATGTCTATTTATCCAAATTTTTGACAACAATAATAACAACAACATAGTTACCAGAGAAGTGGCTTTCTTAATATATGGCAAATTATCGGGGCGCTAATGCGTTATCTTAACGTTTTCCCTCACACGACGCCCACTGATATTGCAGCTTTATCATTGTGATGGCCTCAACAAATTCCAACCAGAAACTTTACATCGAGGCAATAAAAGTTGCATTATACCTTGAGTCGCGACGCCGGTAAATATGAAGAGTTCGCTGAAGGACACTTGGATCCAGGGGTTGGAATCTCCCGTCTCAAAGCCGACACCAAACAGGCCGTAGAGGCTGGAATAGACAGTCAAGTCTGGGCTCACTAATGATCAATATGGCACCGGGTATCCAAATGTTGCGGTGTAGAAATCGAACGGTATGACAGGAATGGTAGTCCGCTAGAAACCGCAGTCAGTTTCACACTACTTTATGCAGGAGACATTTGCCCCATTTGTACATGGACTGACCCCAGGCTATCCCTAATCTGTACTAATCAGATGTAAACCCAGACTACCATTCCTGTCACACAGGCTCCGCTGATTTGACAAAAGGTCCAGAATAGATGTTTAACTAAACCAATCACTTTATGCAGCAAACCAACAGAATTTTGCAATTTGAGTTCTCTTATTTACGCAATAAACCATTAAGATAATAACAAACAAGTCATGTTATCAAACAAAACCATTATAAGATACGTAAAATATAACAGAACCATAATAAACCATAACAAACCATGTAAATAATAATAAAACAATAGCAAAACAATGTTTATAGTAACAGAACCACAATAAACCATGTAAATAATTACGGAATCATAATAAACCATGTTAATATTAACAAAACCATAACATTCCATGTTAATTATATCAGAACCGTAATAAACCATGTTAAAAATAACAATTGAACCATGTAAATCATAACGGAATCATGATAAACCATATAAATAGTGAACTAAAGGCACTGTAACTTACAACACATTGTTTGCTGTATAGTTGCCGTCACTGGAGTTCGAAGATGTCGTAATTGTTAAAGTGTTCTCATAAGAGTGCAGCAGTGGTTTATGGCACGGACCTACAACGTTATTGTAAATGATATGACATGATTACATCACTTATCAAGGGTCTTCCTAACAACGTTTTGACCCAAAGCAATTCTATAATTGATTTATAAAATAATTTAGTACCTGAATGTCAATATCCTTCAAGTAACAGCTAAAGTTGCAACATAGCCGTAATCTAACATTGTTGTCGTCTGATTTATTTGTATTTTATCTCTGGTCGGGCTAAGATTCAGCGTCCATCGGCCAATCTTATGATTTATCAAACCTCAAGTTTGCCAATGTAAGGTCATAATGTAAATTATCTAAAACGAAATATTATTCGATTAAAAACCACGTATATTAGATCATACTACACGCTAATTACCGTTATTATTGCAGTGCACTTTCCTCGATGTTTGGCCCGCCTGTTCCTGCACCCAGTATGTGCCCGGTAACAGCACCCCTTGGTCTGCCAGGTGCCTGCAGGACACAGCGCGGCTGTAGTAGTACCCTGCACAGTGACCAGATATATAAGTAAGCAAACTGTATGAACCGGAATTCAGCCACACTTAGTAACATTTTTTCAAGTTACATTGAGTCAAAGTAAAATTTGGAGTGTTGTGAGTGTCATTTGTATCATTATTTAATTAGAGTCGTTTTAGTCGCTAAGCTTGACTGTGTGGACAACGAAGGACACAGGAACAAAAAAAAAAAAACAAAAACAAAAAAAAAAACGTGTTAGACTTACTAACCGACATAGTACACATTGGCCTTATCGGCTCCACCACAATGCTGGACCGGGTTGTAAGGACAGCCGAGGTGACAGTCACTGGGGGACTGCCTCCCAGTGGGTTGACTGACCACACAGTAACAGTCTGCCCCGGACACTGCAGCCATGGGGACGTCCTGACCACGGCAGTACTCTATACACTGGAGACTGTTCATGAGCCGAGAATGCGAGATCTTGGCAACGTGCGTCGTAGGATTGTTGTAACAGCCGTCAAATCCTAGAATAACAGACATAAGGCGTGGTTACAATGATGACATTCGAAGCCATTTCTTTTGTACATACGACAGCATTAATACATGCAGGTGATATGTGCTGGCTATATCTCCCCTTTTGGAACCATTCATCAGTCACAATATTGGTATCTCGCAACTCCGTTTGTGTAATACCCAGATATCAAATATACAATACAATATGTATTTTTATTTCAAAGATAATTGAAGCCTTGGCATTAATTTACCTACATATACAGACGTCTGAAGAGTTAAACAAATACGTGGCCACCATACTGCGTACATAGGACTGTTTGACACTCGATCACAAACAAAACCCAGAGAAGTGAATTTCTATCTACAAAGGACTAAACGTTGGAAAGTTGACAAAGACAGACGGGAAAAGGGAGGAGGGAGAGAAATCACTGGCACTTGTGTCTCGAAATAGTTGCACAAAATTTGCTGTTTTGCATACGAAAATTAAATTTTATGAATTTTGGATAGAATAATTGATTACAGTAAAAATCAAACGTGCCTCGAAAATCAAGACAACAATAATGGTGTGCCTAAAATCCTCGCGAGAGAATATACAAGGTAACACATACCGTAGTTGGTCTCACACAGAGCTCCGTTAGGACCACCGCTAATCTCTGCATTGATCCAGCTGAAGTTTGCGGTCTTCTTAAACAGCACCCGTGTCTTCAGCCCACTGGTGTCCGGGTTGCCGGCATCCCAGGCGGAGTAGGACAGAAAAGAGCCGTCTTCTCCGGTATATACCATGCTATAGGATGGGTCGAACATCCCTGATATCACGTCAACCGTTGATGTATTAGACTGAAAATGATACATTTTACATCATACACCTGTGTTTGTTTGCGTACATGTAAATATATATAAGGACTGATAAAATAAAAATATCGCAAAAAATGTAACAGTAACGTTTAAGAACGTCACCACTTCTGTGTATTTATGTACGATAGATCTAGTATAACATACAAGTGCTGCAGTGTGTGTGTGCGTGCATGTGCTTGCATGCACACGACTGTTCCTCCTTAGTAAAAGTGAATTTAACAACAGTTGTGACTGGTGACGGAAACACTAAGTGTCATATTAACACTCTAAAAACCTCCACGTTGGTGACAGCTGGTGGTCATAATTGTTGAAAACTTAATATAAAACTGGAATGGCAATAATCGTGGACACAGGGCAGTGGCGTACCTTCATGATTTTCACGACATGCTCTTGCTCCTCCTGAGAGCTGACCACTGCCAGGTAACCCCCTAGGGCAGTGCAGCCCTTTCTGTAGTCGTAATGGTCAGCACGGTCAAATAGCAACTGATAACAACTGCCCTGGCGTCCAAATGACCAGCCGCTCGGACAGACGGTGTCGTCTGAGGTGGGTAAATCTGTGAAATATAACAATTGTGTTGAAATATTTATTGAATAAATAATATCGTTTATTCAACCGAAATAAAAACCATCATTCGGTTTGTTTATCATTTGATGCGTTCTAGACTGACCCCCTGGCTTAGTGTCATTCCACGTGGTACACATGTAATCTGAGTCCACTGGATTTAGCGGCCAAGTGTCGACTCTAGTGCACGCACTACTAAAGCCTGGATTACATTTGAAATGCGATGCCCGGACGGTACACGTATACTGCCCGCGATACCCTTTTCGTACGGCGTCTGAGCGGAGGTAGACGGTGGCCGTGCGAAATAGCACGGAATCTTACGGATTAAAGGCTATGTAATGTAGACATACTCGACGTAGCCCGTAGCTCTTACAATTTTAAAAAAGAAAATCGTAAGGACAATTTCATCACGCGGCGCGAGTGCAAATGTAATCTAGGCTTTAATCTTAAAGAGAGCATTCACATCATGAAGAGCCGAGGTCTAGCAAGGCCGAAATCTAAATATGGCGGACTTACATAAAAGGAAAAACCGCGTAATCCTTTAATGGTCTCTCCGCCTCTCACACGCCTCCCCGCGCGTCGTCCCTGCAGGCCCCCGGCACACTGATTAAATCTCGGCTCAATTCAACCGGTCGAGGGACGACGCGTGGGGAGCCGTGTGAGAGGCACAGAGACCATTAAAGGATTATGTGGTCTTCCTTTCATGTAGGTCTCGGCCTTGCTAGACCTCGGCTCTTCTCGATGTGAATGCTCTCAAAGATGTTTGATACGCAGACCATTTTATACAAGGGTTGTTGAAACTTTACGTCGGGGGTGTATATACATGTATATATTGTTTTTGTTCTTTTGATATTAATATTTTATATCAAAATCTGGCGAAGGTGAGACAGCTGTTTTATAGTTAAAAAGTGGACTGTTAGAAAAAGCACGGAGAAGCTATTTCATGTATATGCATGTACTGTGTTTGTATTCCACACTGATCAGTGTGCGCTCAATGATTTCAGATAGATTCCATTTTCAAGATAAATCAACACAACCGCTGATAGGAACTTCTACATGGGGTAAGTACTGATAAGTCTACCATCATAGACAGCCGACAAGAAGACGATAGGATGAGCTCGTGCCACCGAGATAGGCTGTGTTCTGAATACCGTACTACCATACTATCGTACTGGCAGGATCGATCTATCTTCTCTCTAAGGTGCTGTCAATGGTAATTTGTCTGGCACGCCCCCTCTCATAACAACATGAATAACATCATGGACCAAAAAATGTTTCCCAAATTTACCCAGGTACTAAAAATCACAAGCGCATTTGTAAACAAGAATCCACGCTGTGATAGATCGATCCTGTTAATACGATAACTTCTACTCTGAACACAGCATACATACATGTACATACACTGTGACTGTTAGACACCTGTTGACGGAGAGCAGCGGAGGACCAGTATATCTATAAGTATTGCTATATATATATATATATATATATATATATATATAATAGGATCAATTATATATATATATATATATATATATATATAGTAACCGTAGTTACGTGCGGGCATTATACCTTCATCAGTTGCATGCCAACAACCCTGCTTTGCCGATAACCCTAACAGACCCCCCCCCCAGAACAACGACATGGCCTAAGACTCATATATTATTTACAACTTGATTGTTCTGCAAACAATCACTATTCTGCACAGTCAAGGCATAAAAGCCTCGTGTTGTTGCCAAATTTACTTAGAACAATCTTCATGATTCCACACTATTACTGAGTACTGTCAATAATTGGCATTCCTTTTGGCTATTGTATAATCCCCATTTCCACAATGATTGCAGGACAATGATATACGTTGATCAAATAAACGACAATATCCGCATTTGTCTAAATGCTTATGAGAGTATTATTGTGTGTATTCCTAATCGAACAATCTTTGATTTATCAAACAAATATTACCAAATTAGTTTTCAGAAATGTTCTGTAAATCATATGTTTCTTTATTATTTTTATTGAACCATTTTCTTTCTTTTGATCTCTGTCCGAACATTTCACCTCCAGGCGTAACTACGAAGAAACATGAAAGACGATGTTATTTCTCAAGACGCATATACTGTATACATAAACGCCTGCCAGCCGAGTAAAAGGTCGAATTAAAAGAGAAGTTGATCACTATTTTACTAAAGCAGTAAATAAATTTACGATATGTTCATTAACGGCTGCTTAATGACATCCACAATAAGTGACGAATATTGGGCACCATTTCAATTAGCGATTAGAGAACTTCTGCTATAGACCAATGTTAGTTCAAAGGTATCATTTCAATTAGCGATTAGAGAACTTCTGTTACAGACCAATGTTAGTTCAAAGGTATCATTTCAAGGAAGTGGATCTTACAGCATTATATTTATAGAACGTGCTAACCGTGATGTCTGCTGAAACTAGATTAAATGGAAACTTGTTATAAACGATATAGACATAACTGCCATCTATTTTCAAAGCGCTATCTGTAGTCAAGTCATTTTTTCCTATGTCAAAGGAACACGAATTCTGGTCAACAATAACATAATATTATTATTGTGTTGTTATTGATGGGATAAACGATTACAAACACTTCACACATAAACTGTCTATCAACACAACTTCTAAACTTGTAATATCCCCTCGTTACTCAGGGGTCGTGGCTTGTTTTGATGTCAGCAGCGACGGTTTTTTCAAACAACAACAGGGGTTTGATCGCCATCACCAGGATAACAGGTTATCGTTTTTTCTACCTAGGCTGTGCGGCAAGCCTTCACTCATTATCACGGCTATCTTCGTCAGGAATGGCAAATAGCGATAAAGGAGAGTGGCCTCGATTTTGTTTTGGTTTGAACCGTTATCGAAATACGGAGTACACTAAAACGGCAGTGCTGCTGTCAATTGTAAATTCGGGCATATGCATGGGCATTACCTCACCAATGCAACCCTTCAATAAGTGAGAAATGCAACATCAACTTACTTGGATCACTGGTGGTGGATTCATGGGTAGTCGTTGGTGCCTGCGTAGTCGCTGCTTGAGTCGTTGGTGCCTGGGTAGTAGCTGCTTGAGTCGTTGGTGCCTGCGTAGTCGGTGCTTGTGTCGTTGGTGCCTGCGTAGTCGGTGCTTGAGTCGTTGGTGCCTGCGTAGTTGGTGCTTGTGTCGTTGGTGCTTGCGTAGTCGGTGCTTGTGTCGTTGGTGCCTGCGTAGTCGGTGCTTGTGTCGTTGGTGCCTGCGTAGTCGGTGCTTGAGTCGTTGGTGCCTGCGTAGTTGGCACGACTAAAACTGCAGAAATGATAACAATTGTGTTGAAGCAAATACCAATTCTGCAGCTTGGTTGAGTTGATCCATAAGTACATATATGCATGAATAAAATGGATGAAATGAGTAACGTGCAGTGTATTTCCGTAAACACCTGAATTAATTAAAAACACGGAGGTCAATCAAGTAATATGTCAGACGTTAAAAGTGTCTTAAAATGAGAGCAATTTACCAACCGATTTCACAGCTGCTCCCGCTAAATCCAGAGACGCAAGTACAGGAATACGAAAACAGTCCGTCTGTGCAGGTCCCGCCATTTTGGCATGGTCCACTGGCACACTGGTCTTCCGGGTCTGACATGATTATATAGTGTTACTATAGTGATCAGTTTATCATGTCAACGACGCATGCACAGATGAAATGTGACTTTAAGGGTAAATTTAAGTTGACGTTATTTTGACCATATCGAAATAGAATGTCTAAATGAAAATGTATGTTTTTAATATATGTATTCTACGTAGTAAAACATAGGCACAATCATTTGAGAGAGAGAGAGAGAGAGAGAGAGAGAGAGAGAGAAAACTCACCCGTGTAGTCTCCACTGGAGCATTGTTCCATGGCTGTTGTCAAGTCGGGCATGTTTAGCTTCGTATCAAACAAATAAAGGCACCTCAAATATCCCTCAAATCGGTGATTGGAAGGAATCTCACTGCAACCCCCAGAATATTGCCTTCCTGAGAACAATAAAGGTATCAGTTATGGGCTTGAGGACAGTAAGCTTCAGGAACTATGCAAAACATCCAAAACCATGATTATCTTTCTACATATAAAATGCATATAAATGTCAGTTTTAGTGCAGATTTTAGTCCATTGTTATATTTCAAGTCTGAGACATAACTAAGGCGATCAACCAGAAGTATTATATTATATCTGTATGTTTGAAACATTGGGTATTCACATTATTAAATGGATACCACACCAGTTTAACTGTCGCCCAGACAAACACCGGCAAAGCTGATGTACGGGAACCTGCACAGTTTGCCAGGCTGTTCTGACGTCAGGTCAACCACTGCTGAACTGACTTCATTTGCATGTAGTGTACAAACCTGCACTGAGACATGTTCACTGCCAGACATACTTAGACAGCAAATGATATATACGTCACGAGGAATGAGGGTTTTTGATATTTGGATACTTTCATGCACTTTTACTTAATAGTTGGTGTCAACAAAACTTTATAAATTCGCCATTACCAAGAACAATGTCTCCGGACATTTCGAACGGTCCCACAATGGAGGTAAATGTCGCCGTGTTGTAAGAGGAAGTACTGGCGCCGTAATGCAACTTCATGGTCTGGGACGGCGCGTCGTAGGTCACAACTAACCAGGAATCCGAGGTAAAGATTGCAGTATTTCCTGAAATGAATGTACATTTACCAACGCTTGTCCATGCTGCTTCTAATACACAGAACACTATATATTGCGGTAAATCGTGTACTTTTTGTAGCGCATGTAATTTTACGGCTTCATATTGCAAGTTTTCATACATTTGTAAGGATGAAAAACGTATCAGTAAATCAAAGTTGAAAAGTGCAGTGATAAATTAGAAATATTTTAATATTGCAAAATAAATTTAGAAATACTATGCCAGTTGTCATTTATCAAAGTCTACCTGTATGTGGGTCTACCAGATCGACATGATGTAAAATGGAATGAGAAACATCCTGTGCATTTGTAACTTGGATAATATTTTATCGCATTTATGATGAGCCGTGAGCAGAGTTCATGCATAACGTAGTTTATTTTTGGTGGTTTATGCTTATGAAAACCAGTCAAAAGCAAAACTGCAAATGAACAATTGGGGACAATCAGAGTGAAGTGACGACATATTGCCTGGTATTTGTGTACCTTTTAACTAAGTGAGGTAGTTAAAAGTCACCATTTGAACCGACAAAACGGCGACGTATAGTTTGGCCGTTATTTTATTAGATAACAATCGATGTTGTTTTATATATCACCTGTCATTGGTTTTCAAAGTGTTTCTTTACCCACCTGATGTCGTCAGTTGCACCGGGCAGGATACCGATGACGTCACAGGAGTGATGGCGTATTTCTTTGTGTCGATAGAGAGAGCAAACCCACCGGCATATTGGAATATGACAAAGTCGTCATTATCAGAATTGCCATAACTCGAATGGCGTGGCTTTAACCCCACTGAATTATAAGAAAATCGAACACATCTGGATTAAAATGTATATGCAACATTAATCGTAAAGCACAATGTTGTAACTCCTTGTTAAAACGGAATAGACGAAAATAAAAGTGCAAAATACGTTTAGCATGGTCAATTCCATTTTTGAAATATAATGTTTTCTATATATATTCCTTAATTGTGTTACGATCTCTACACAATGGCAATATTTGTCCAATTCAAAAGGCTACAACAGTTGCAACGGTATTAATATTAAGGAGATATATTGCCCCATGTAGTCCTATACTAACTTATAATAGTAAATGATCCAGTCATCACATATCTTCCGCCGTTTGGTATGGTGAGGTGAGCGTTGCTGTAGTACCAGGTGAGATAGTTGTTCAATATGCCAGACGTGCGGACATTACTGAGCACCGCGTTCTGGCCATGGCCGCTTCTGTCCTCCTCGACTGTGTCTCTGTTGAAGGGCCAAAACCCAAGGAGGCTCCCAGCTGTGCCTGTAATAGGTAAACATTGACGATCATGCCAAACAGCATTATGTCAAACGGCAGGCATACAGAATATACAACATAACCTCTCCCGTGTGTCACAGCTTCATGAAGTCTGCACAGTGTGGATGGAGCAGGGAACCCTGACGCCAATATGGCAGCAATGCTGTGTTAAGCATACCCCGTGCCTCACATTATGGATTTTCTTGCAAACTATTTCTTGGCAGCAGGGAAGAGTTATGGGGCAAACATTACCCATCCCCAGTCCCAATATTGTGCTTCAACGGTCATCTAAGGCGGAGCTGTCAATAGGACTCATCTGCTGGGATATATCAGTGTGACTCAACTACTCAACGAAGAGGGCATAATACCACACACAGACGTAAAAATGATTTCAAAGAAACCCAATAAATGCTGTCCTGGCAAGTTAAAGGGGGAACGTTTAGAACATAATAATTTAATTCAGCAACGTTCACCTAAAAATAGGGAAAAGTCAACCAAAACCAAAAATATACAATATTCCTTTGACACAAAAATATTTCTAACGAGACAAAATATTCGGCGATAAATGTACTTGTGTATGATAAATTGCTTACCACAGACTGTGGGTGAAAATTGTTTTATTTTTGACCAAAGTGATGTACATGTATGTTCACCCCCTTTATTGATCGGTGAGTTGAAGCCTGGCCTGTACATGGCCGCCTTGTCGTAGAGTATATGCAGGTCAGTAAAAAGCGCCATCTGCAGGGCTAATCTCAGGGAGTCTAAGTTAAGTCCTTGGCGTTTTAAAGAATACATATCTGTAGAGACGGAAGTGGATTTTACTCACAGCGTCAACTGATTACCAGACAGCATTAAGATCAAAACGAATAAACAGCTCTTCTAGAGGTTGAGGAGTGTGATATCGCCGAGAAACTATAGAGGACTGGGCACATTTTTTTAGACTTTTCTTCCAATGTTTGCCAACATTCCCCAAATCTATTCCATCACTGCACAGGTTAGCTTACTCTTCCTGTTTCCACCTTAATAATTTACATAAACATGATGACTGATTAACAATACAACAGTCAGTCACATAGGAGTGTAAGATTAGCCTTATCTACCGCTCTGTACTACTCTGTACTTAGCATAAAACACCAGATCAAATGTCTATTTCCCATCGTTTTGTTGTCCAATGCCCATTTTTAAACGTGGCTTGCATAGCATAACTGACATTTCTAAACGTTTATAAATTAGTTTTTTTTTTGTTTATCTCAGAAAAACCTCAATTAATTAATGGAATTAAGAATTAAGAACATTTGTCCGTCTCACAGTTCCACATATATACCAAATAACAGAATGCCTTCTCTAAGCATCTTGAGGTACAGAATATTATAAGTCTAGATCTTAACACATGGGTAGGAAGTGTGAAGAAATAATTCAATTTCTTACTGCCTTGTTTTGGGAGTAAAAACGTACTATTAATTGGCGTCTGACCTGATTCCCTGTTTGACTTGTTACTGTAGAAACAAAGATAGCTGGCTTGCACGACGTTTAACTTGAGAGAATCCCCGCCACGTTATTATCCAAACATTAAAATGATTAAAATGATTATCTCGCCCTTTGTTGTGAATAGACATACCTTTGAAGATCACCAAACACATCAGGATCTGCCAGACGAAGTCTAGTCTTAGACCCATGGCGAATCCTGCTCTCAGCTCGTCTACTAGTCAATGTCAGCCAACGCGATCACAAGGGTCCAGTTCTACGCGCCCCTGACCTCCGCTACTCCCAGTACTTACACCCGAGACTCTGATTAATTAGACGATAACAAAACCCTTTATGACAACACGGACATTTGAAATCGATAAGTGCAATAGAGCATATGTTTGTAGTCGATATTTACTGGTAGCATTCATAAATATCCCTACCTAAGACGCACTCTAATTAGGGACCACAATTCTTTTGTTCACTTTCTTTCTCGGTAATTTCAAATGATCATACTACATGATTCAAACAACTCTGAAGGGAAATAAATAAGTATGGACACCTGCTTCTGTTGTTTAATAATTGAACCTCTGGTCTTATTGGACATATTTCTTCGTTACGCCCTGCAGCAGGATCAATTCCAGCTCAAATGAACGTCGTTATTGACAGCCTAAATTTAGCAATAACCCGCTGTTCAAAGTTTATCCAAACATCGAAGTTCACCTCTTAGTTTGCCTACATTTTTTCGCCTATGTTTTCAGAATCAGGGAGAGCACAATATCAAAATAATAAAAGTGAATTAAACTAAGTTTAAAGCAGCCTTACTATTGCTTTATTTCCTAAAACCGCCAAATGTGGGAGGAAAGGAGAACAACATCGGGTAAAACCATTATCACGATCACCGCAAGTCCACCGAGCAATACCCGTACAGGAACTGTGCACTGCCATCTTCCATAATGCTACCTCCTACGAGCTTACGATTTTCCAAAGGTGTCAAAAGTTTTAGCTTGACAAAATCATAGAGGCTTCGGAGGCCGTGAATCCACCGTCTGCCTCCGCTCAGACGCTGCACGAAATGAATTTTACAGACAGTATACGAGCACCCAATGGCAAATATAGTCAATATCATCTAGGCTTATGTAGCCCGCTTATCCTGCGACACACCACTAACTTAATATATAGTAACTGAATATCTTCCTTCACTACCGGCAGTTGCTTCATTTTAGTGACATACCACGGACTTATTCTGGATCAGAATGGGGTTCTGCGGTGTAAAAGACAGACAGACAGACAGATAGAAAGATAATAGATAATTTATATATTCTGATATTCAGAATTGTGAGCAGAAACACAAGAAATAAAGAAAACATTTTTCTTATTCACAATATCAACAAGTCAAGCTGTCAGAATGGAATTGGAGAGATAAACATATTTGCATATATCGCTAGTGTATTTGTTTACCCAAAAGCTGAAACTGATCTGAACTCCAAGTTATTGAATTTTTCTCTTAAGTCCACTGTGAGCGGACAGTCACACGGAACACGTTCCACAACTTGTGTGCTCCCGCATGTGCACTTACAATTGTCATACTTGACCCTTGACCAGCGCCCTAACAACATAAGGCCATGAGATGACAAACGGAATGTGATACAATAAAATCATGCTTACATTTAACCAGAGCTTATAAACAGTGGACACGCCATCATTGTAACTATTATGTAATCGGGATCGATATCCTGAATGTGGCAGATCATGTGGAATAAACAGATCGTGTTGATAATCTGGTTTGTTCAATGCAGTTATATGGTGTCCGAAATTTGGCCGGTAGCGGCCTCTTTTATTGAAAGGTTCCTCTAGTAGAAGAATAGTGTTAGTTATCATATAGCATTTGATAGTGTTGGATTAATTAAAAGATTACATAAACTTATTCGTTTAATCATCATGACAAGTTGCTACCAAATTTATGGAGAAGCGACTTGATGTGACGCTCTTATCTATATGAAATACAAAAATCTACGTACGATTTGGCAAATCTTAATCAAGTAATCGGGAACGTTATAAAGTGGTGACTATTAAATTTGCTATCATATACAGGAAAAGAGTAACTTCAAAACTTAAAAAGAACTTAATCTAATGGAAAATGCATTCATTTTCAGTCAAATCTACGACTGGACAAAGTTTTAATATGTGATGGAAAATGCTGAGTCTCTTCTTTCGTAACACAGAATTGTAAAACAAAGTCACTGGAGTTGTAAAAGATTCATTTCAAATAATTCTGCGGCTGACCAATATACTAGCCTACTGGTCACGTGTCGCGAGGTAAAAGGGGACGAAGTTCAATACTGAAATCCGATGGAAGTTGCTGCTAATTGATTCCCACATTTGTTACAGTGTCCGATCCACTGGTCTTGATCACAATTCCATCATATCTCAGTCTAGGTTATCTAGCCAAAGAGATGTTACAGATTGGCATTGTTATACAATGGCAAATTAATTTTTAAGGGGCTTGTTTACAATATATTCAAAGTAGTTAAAATTTAGTGGCACGGGTTTTGTTTCTTAACAGTATCTGTGCAGTTATCTAATCGTGAAGTTGACCGCTGAATCCTGTTCTTGTCACAGTATATTACATTGGGTAAACCTCATTTTCGATCTCTCTGAGGCTTGTACAAATATCTCCTGACTCAGGATTTCACTATAGTTATAGCAACAAGACTCGCATCAAGTGCTGCTTTCAGTTTTCGTGGAATCTCTGAATTCTTGGACCTGTCAAAAAGTCAATAAAAAGTGTATAAGTATACTAAATTTAATATGTAAAATGTCTGGTTAAAGACACATGTCAACAAAAACATAATACATTAATGGAATCAAAATGTTAATTAACATAATTTTGGTGAATGATTTCGAATGTCGATGATACGTATTAAGCTCTGAGTCCGACATAGCTCTGGAATAGTTCACATTCATAGTCTCAGGCCGTCAATGACGGGTAGGGCGGGGGCGTGGTGGAAGCCAGGCTTGGGGCAGAGATGAAATCTAAGACGGGGCTGGGTGTGGGGGCGTGGTAGAGGTGTGGGCACAGTAAGCCATATCTCCTTGGCTTGTGAGATATTCCCTTTCTCTGTAATAAAGTCAAAAAAGTAAAACTGGACAAATGTAGTTTTTATATCTTTATCGCTTCCAAAACAATGTAAAAAATGCATCTATTATTTTAGATATTCATCATTTAATTGTGGATATACTACCCACCCTCTTACCGCCCACTTTCGACAGTAGGTTTTCTCACCCACTCTCTTACCACCCACTAATACCCCCTTTACACTGGACGGCGTCCTTTCTGCGTCCTTTCTGCGACCATGACATTTGGCATCGCTGTGGTCTTAATAAGGAGGCACGAGCATTGATTTTGTATCAGAATAAATGCTCAATGATCGGCCAGTTGTCGGCACGTAAAGTATTATCATTTTTTAACTCTCAAATGGGGCCGTACTGCTGGACGCAGAAAGGACACCGTCCAGTGTAAAGGGGGCTTAACGGAAGTTCATATACTATCCATCCTCTTACCACCTACTAAGAACAGTGGCTGTACTACCTACCCTTTTTACCACCCACTAATGGCCATGGATACACTACCCACCCTCTTGCCAACTACTAACGACAGTGGACACACTACTCACCCTTCTACCGCTCATCAGGCTAATAGAGGTGTCGTCCATTTCCATATCGATTTTCATCTTCATCTCGTAATTTTTGCCATAAACGAATCGTCTTATAAAAGGCAAAATGAGCACTGGGTCTACGTCTTGTGGATCAGTAAAGCCTAGGCAGAAGAGAAAGGAATCAGCGTCACTGTTTTTGGTATGCGTATGGATTAGTATATAACGCATTCATAACAAATGAGCCGCTGACCAAATATGGCCGACCCTACTCAAAAACAGCACTGTTTAATCCTCTGGTGGTTTCCTCGCCTCCATACGCGCCATTGAACGGATTTAATCTCGACTCCGAAGTTTAATTGCAAGGCTCCTGCAAAGACAGTGCGTGTGGAGGCGGAGACATCATCGGGGAGTAGTGGGAGCTGCTTTTCAGTGGGTCAGCCATATTTACTCAGCAGATCTGTTAGGCCGTGGATCAACTTGTTCTGGATGGCCTCTATGTGTTTGTAACATAGACAAACCATTTAAGAAAAAGGGCGTGTCTAGCTGCAGCCTTTGATGTTATTTTGCAAATTGCTCCCGTATTTTGGACGAAATGCGCCTGATGTAGCTGTAAGAGGCAGAAATACACCACAGGCAGGACGTTTGGTAAAAAGAACTGAATACTGGCAAAAACTTGTGAAATCACCAGGCAATAGATGTATCAAATCATGCTACATAGTTCAGTTTAATACGGCAGAGGATGACAAGGAGTTTGGGGAATTTCATGTCAAAATATTATTATACGGGTATTGTTTTGGGACAGCCTGGTGCAACCAAGGGGCGGGAGGTGAAGGTTATTCTGTACAGGGATTTTATCACAAGAACATAGATTTTAAATTACCGTTGGGATACATAGAAATGTCTCACAATAGCAAACTGGATATATATATATATATATATATATATATATATATATATATATATATATATATATATATATATATATATATATATAAGGTACTTATGCAAGATATATCTTCGTTGGATTCTATATTAGATTATTTGAAAAAGGTAGCACGCTTTAGGCGTTAAAATCATCAGTTTGAAATCAAAGCAGAGGGCCATAGTGGTAAGTCTGGGATGAGAGGATCTGTCCATAACACAGCAGACAGATTGTAGGCACCAGATGATATATCTGCAACATGAAACTGAATTCTTACGAAATACTTATTATCCTGATAAAGGCCAAAAATATCAAAGCATTGAGAAAAAAGCATTTTTGAATTAATTTAAAAATAAGAAGAAAGTCACTATTGGAAATAATGCAGAAAAGATAATCAACGCAACTTATTCATACAGTGTAGATGATAATGAACTGATTGTTGTAAGAGGACCAAAGACCTCACATACAAAGAAATATAGCTAATAGTCGCTTAGTGACTTTCAGGTATTCAATAATATAATAAATAAAAATAATTATTAAATTAATAATAATAATAAATTGATATCATTTTTCTGATATCGAATTTTTCTTTGAACTATTTTCCTAAGTTTATCAGTGTCACTTTTCTGTTATCGATTCTACTTCTCTGAGATCTGCAGAACAACATATTGCCCTCAACGACATTAAAAAATATGTAGTAGCATTATTACTAAACATCAAATGAAAGGTTCTGTGTTAATGAAAAACATACATAAACATAATGTATTGATGTAACTACTTAAGTATGCATTTAATTACAGCTCTGGTATTTCACCTGTTGCTGCACTGACCGCCATGCCGACCACCAGCACCGTTAGAACACCGAACAAGGCGTAGTGTATGTAAGAGACGGCGTACAGGTTGTCCAACCCCATGCTGAAATAACAATGTGTAGTGGATGTAAGAGACGGCGTACAGGCTGTCCAACCTCATGCTGAAATAATAAGGAGTAGTGGATGTAAGAGACGGCGTACAGGTTGT